CAGAACCGCCCCTGAGTAGACTGTAGGCCACCTCAATGTCCAGCAGGTTGTCCAGCATTTCCACCTTGGCCTGCACGCTGTCTGCATTGTTCAGGAGCGGGGGCTTCTTCATCCCGAAGTCGTGGGGGATCAGGGTGTAGAAGCGGTTGGAGAGATCCAGGATGTGAGAGTCACTGCTGCCCTGGGACAGTGCCTTTGTGGGGAGGAAACAGACGGAACAGTCTGAGGCACTGCTGAGCTCCCAGCACCTGGCCNCGGAAACACCTGTCGCTCCTCCAGTCTCGGCCATCTTCTTGATCTTCTGCTGGTCATCCCAGCGGAGCTCGGAGAACCCATCCACCTCGACATCAGGGTGCCAGATGGAGTGGCCGACCTTCCAGAAGCAGGAGAGGTGGTGCCAGTGCGGGATTTTCCCATCGAACATGGGCGACTGCACCATGAAGGCCATCCGGATCGAGTCCTTGGGGATGCTCTCTTTGCATTTTTTGCAAGCCGCGCGCCCGCTCTTGGCGTACTCGACCCGGTAGACCTTGTCTGAAGACTCCGCCATCCTTCTCCTGCCGCTTACAGCTCCGGGAACCCGACGCCGCGACCTGGAGACCCGCTTCTGCTACTGCAGTCTCTAATCCCCATTTTAGAGATAAAGAAATTGGAGGATTAGAGTGGTTACCCCACCTGCCTAAGGTCATAAAGGTGGCTAGGAAGTGGCAGAGCAGATGTTTAAGCAAGGTCTATGGGATTCAAGACACATTGATCTCTCTAGACCCTTCTTTCCTCTGTGATATCTTCACAGCACTACTCATGGCCTTCAAAAGTACTTCATCTGTTTCTATTCCCATCAGCCACTTTGAACACTTTGCCTCCTCTTTGCACTCTAGGCTCTGGAATGCAAAGAGTTTGCAATAGGTGAGTGCTGTGTGTATTTGTTATTATTATTAATCTTCATTCTCTTCTATTTCCTCATTTAACTAAGAAAAAATTTTCTGCCTTTTTATTCTAAGACAGTGGTCATCCTCCACAGGCTGGACACTCCCTGAAAGTGCCCGCAGCACAGATAAGAGATCTTTGAACTATGCACATTACATTCTACCTTGTTCTTCAAAACTGAGCAAAATGTCAGGGTGGTAAAAAGTTTGACTCTCCTCCCACCTCCTCCCAAATCACTGCTGAAGTCCCTCTCTGCCACTTCTCCCATCCTATCTATACCAGTTTGGCCCCTAAGGAGGCAGCATGGTGTGAATTTTAGGTCCAGACAGACCTGGGTTGGGTCCAGATACTGTCACTTCCTGTCATATGACCTTGAGCTCCATTCAGAACTCCTCCAAATCACAGTGTCCTCATTTGGAAACTGGGGATGATAGTACCTCTCTCACAAGGGAAAGTGACTGTTAGGATTAAATGAGATTACATATATAGCAATTAGTTAAGTGTTTGACCATAGTAAGTGCTCTATAGCTTTACCCGTAATTATCATCTCATTTTTGGTTTTGCAGATTTCTGCTCCAGTGTTCATGGATAAATAGTCAGATATGAGTTGATACAGGTTTTACTGTAATTCTACTCAGGAATTTTTTTTTTTAAACAATGCTTAAGAGCTTCCCTCATGGCTCAGATGGTAAAAGCATCTGCTTGCAATGCAGAAGACCTGGGCTTGATCCCTGGGTAGGGAAGATCCTCTGGAGAAGGAAATGGCAACCCACTCCAGTACTCTTGCCTGGAAAATCCCATGGATGGAGGAGCCTCGTAGGCTAGAGTTCGTGGGATCAGACAGGACTGAGTGATTTCACTTTCACTTATGAGGTTATTTAACCTTCAAAGTTCAAAGGAATAAAAACATAAAGGCAAAATGTACACCCAGGAGACTGGAAATTTTGCTTAATATTGCTCAAATGACACTGCTCAGATGACCACCCCTAAAAATCTACCACTGGACTCACTGAAGCAGATGGGGGTGGATCTTTTCCCTCTGTTGTAAGGACTGCTTTACTCAAACAGAAGACTTAAACCCTATGGGCCTTATTGTAGTGACTCTGGTTCCTACTAGACTGCTAAGTAAAAGATCAAATGAATACATGCCCCACTCTCTAGGAGATCATATTTTAAAATGCCATAGAATAACACTGTGATAATTGCTAACGTTTATTGTTTACTTTATAAACTAAATGCTTTACATTTGTTCTCCTAGTTAATCTTTATAACAACTGGAAAAGACAGAGAAAGCTATTATCCACTTTTTACATATGAGGAAGTTGAGACTGAGAGAGAGAACATCACTTGCTCAAGTTGGGAATTAAGCCTAATCCTATCTGATCTTGTGGTCCTTGTTGTTCATTCACTCAGTTGTGTCCAACTTTTTGGGACCCCACAGACTGCAGCATACCAGGCTTCCCTGTCTTTTACCATCTCTCAAACCTTGCTCAAACTCATGTCTATTGAGTCAGTGATGCTGTGCAACCATCTCATCTGTCATCCCCTTCTCCTGCCTTCAACCTTACCCAGCATCAGGGTCTTTTCCAATGAGTAGGCTCTTTTCATCAGGTGGTCAAAGTATTGGAGCTTCAGCTTCAGCCTCAGACCTTTCAAAGAATATTTAGGACTGATTTCCTTTAGTATTGACTGGTTTGATATCCTTGTAGTCCAAGGGGCTCTCAAGAGTCTTCTCCAACACCACAGTTCAAAAGCATCAGTTCTTTGGTGCTCAGCCTGCTTTTTGGTCCGACTCTCATATCCATACATGTCTACTGGAAAAACCATAGCTTTGACTAGACAGACCTTTGTTGGTAAAGTAATGTTTCTGCTTTTTAATATGCTGTCTAGGTTGGTCATAGCTTTTCTTCCAAGGAGCAAGCGTTTCTTAAAAGATAACTGCCCCCAAATTTTGACAATGGTCTTTTGGATGTTGACATTTTATGTATCTGTTTATTTTCTTCTTGTTCTCTGCGTGCGTGCATGCTAAGTCACCTCAATCTTGTCTGACTCTTTGCAACCCCATGGACTGTAGCCCACCAGGCTCCTCTGTCCAGGGATTCTCCAGGCATGAATACTGGAGTGGGTTGCCAAGGTGTTCTGTTCAGGTTTTTTATTTCTTCATGAGTCAACTTGGTGGGTTGTCTGTTTCTAGGAATTTATTCCTTTCTTCTATGGTGTCCACTTTGTTGGTATATAATTTTTTATAGTACTCCCTTACAATCCTTTGTATTGCTATGGAATCCACTGTAATGTTTCCTTTTTCATCTATAATTTTGAGTCTTTGTTTCTTTTTTCTTAGTCTAGCTAACAGTATATCAATTTTGCTTATCTTTTCAAAACAATAACATTTAGTTTCATTGATTTTTTTTCTAATTTTTTAAGTCTTTGTTTTTGTACTAATCTTTGCTATACTTCCTTCTGCTAATACGTTCTTCCTAGTGTCGTGAGCATTAGAATAGCTGGTTCTTATTACTTCTTTGGTGCTTGCTTTGGCAGCACATACACTGAAAATTGGAATGATGCAGAGAAAATTAGCATGGCCCCTTTTTAAGGATGACACTCACTTTTTGAAGCATTCCATGATTCTAACTTATATAGCTGTATTTTTTGTGCTTAGTCACAGGAATTGAACTGGGGTCTCCTGCATTGCAGGTGTATTGCTTACCAACTGAGCTACCAGGGAAGCCCCAAATTATACAGTGCTATATGTGAGTTATATCTCAATAAAACTGGAATAAGAAAAGAAAAATTGCTTCTTTTCTTGGTATCCTGTAAGANTGCCCTGCTTCATTTTGTACTTCAAGGCTGAATTTGCCTGTTACTCCAGTTATCTCTTGGCTTCCTACTTTTGCATCCCAGTGCCCATGTGCTAATAAATGTTTAGTAGGTGGCTGTTCAGAGAAAAATCAGTGCTTGTTGATTTCCCTGATGTAAGTACTCCCACCATGGCTGATGTCAGTCAAGCCACTAAGTGTTATGTCAACCATCTCACAAAATTCCTGAAAATGGGTATGCACAGCTCCAGCATAGCACTACTGGTCATTTAAATGATATATTCCAGGTCTCCAAAATGCTTTCATTCACTTCTCATCTTCCATCTCATAATTCACAATCCTAGATTCATATTAGAATCACCTGGGAGCTGAAACAAATCTGGCATCCTATCTAGCCCCTGAGATACTCATTTGATCGGTGTGGTTGGTGTTTAGTCAGAGTAGCATCTTTTTTTTTTTTTTAAACTCCTCAGATAATTTCTCAGTGCAGCCAGGATTAAGAAACACTGATCTTGAAGAATATATCCTACTCATCACCCACTCTTCAACACAGATTCACAAATACATGATACATTAATACCCTATTTTATTTTTCAAACTTTTGAGTTTTGTGCAGTACATGACAACTGTGCTTTTTTTTTTTCTTTTTTCTTTTCTTTTTTTTTGGCTACACTGGGTCTTTGTTGCTTTGTTTGAGTTTTCTCTAGTTGCCATGAGCAGGGTCTAGTCTTCGTGGCAGTGTGCGTGCTTCTCATTGCAGTGGCTTCTCTTGTTGCAGAGCACAGGCTCTAAGTGTGTGGGTTTCAGTAGCTGCAGCACACAGGCTCAGCAGTTGTGATTCCCAGGCCATAGAGTGTGTGGGCCTCAGTTTGCTCTAGAACTCAGGCTCAGTGGCTGTGGCGCCCAGCCTTGGTTGCTTCAGAGCGTGTGGAATCATCCCCATCCAGGCTTCAAACCCATGTCCCCTGCATTAGCAGGTGGACTTTTATCCACTGTGCCACTGGGGAAGTCCCTAATTGTGCTTGTTTATAATTTTTTAAATCTAGTTTACTCAAGAAATGATTTTGGATACATTTTTCCTTTCACTTAAATGGTGACTGGCATGTGATAGAAACTGAATATGGTGTAGTTATTTTGTTGTTACCATCATAAATTTCATGATCTATAACACCTTGTATGAGTCTCTAATCCACTGGATTTTATCATTTGCACTTGGTTGAGTCTCAAATGATTGACACAAATTATGTTTGTCCCCAGGACAAAATTTTCAGCACCTCTCCCCAAACAGACCCAAAATCAGGGATCTTCCTTTCACTCGGAACAACCTAGCTCCCCTACCAGACCAAAAATGTAAGTATTTTCAATCTTCCTCAGCTTCCTTTGCAAATAGTAGTGCTGTTATTAGGACTAAATGTTATTTCATTTTACTTTCATTTTTCCAAGAGAACATCAAGTACCAAAACTTGAAAATTATAGGAAAATAGACTAGAGACAGTCTTTAAAGCTCCATCCAACATGGTAATGCTTATTTAAAAGAAATAGTCACTTCCTTGAGGAATTTTTATGTTTGGACTATAAAAACAATAACAGAAGTTTATTTTGCTATGTACTATTTAATGTCTTTAATGCTTTAAAAAATATTCTAAGACTGGCTTCCTGACATTGTTTTCCTTACTATATTGGACAGAAAGAAATATGTGTTACCTCTGTACTCACAGGCTCTGCAGTCCTTAGCAGAAAGGAATAATCAAGTATGATGTTCAACAGGTTTACTTTTGGCATTATTTTATACAAAACTTCTCCCAATATAAACTGTTAATATATTCTATTCACCAAGTGATCAAGTTTGCCTGTGCCTAAGTATTATCTAGGGTGCTTGTTATAAAATGGATTCCAGGGCCCCACACTCAAAAATGCTGAGTTTGTATATGCTTATATCTGTACTCTGAGACAGTGTAGATTAGAAAGCTGATTCAGAGAGGTCACATGACTCACCCATTATTATTTAGGCAGTAAGTTGCAGAGCTACAGGATACTGAGTCAGCTGCTTCAAGAAACAAATAATACTCACTGGATTCTAATTTCCTTTCTTCCTATTCTTCCTATCCCAACGCACTGGTTTATAACATGTGTGCAAGCACTCGCATGCACATGTACACACACACACACACTCTACATCCTCTTAATTGCAGAGATTAGATGACTTAGAAGCTGCTCTGTTTAAGACAAGTCCCTTACCCTTTCTTTCCTTCAATTTCTTCCTGTAGCCTGTAAGCGTAGTGCAACCTGATAAGATTGTTGAGAGGATTAAATGAGATGACATGTGCAAAATCCTTGGCAACCATTTGCACAGAGTAAATAAGCAATATATCTTTTCTTCCCCAGACTGCAGTACAGATGGTACAAGTCAAGAGTTTAGTTTAGTTAAAAACCAAGAACCATGGGGTCTTAGGACAACTCTGTCTTTTTTTTTTTTCCAGATAAGGAAAGGGAGAAGTGAAGATTTGTCCAAAGTCACACACATACTTAGTAGCAGAAACCAAGACCTCTTCCTTGACAGATTATTTTCCTTGCCCTTACTAATTTGTCTAAAGAGAGAGTTTTGGATGGTGTGAATTCAATCACTGAATGAAACTCAAGTCTGACCTTGTCTTTCAGCAGAAATGTAGTCACAAAGACATTTAAGGAAAGAGTCACTTAGCCTTAAATCCAGTATGGCCTAGAGAAGCCAAGGAGAGGGGATTTTCTTTGACAGAGCCCAGCAGCTTTGCTTTTCATGATTAAATTTAAGGAGACAGGGAAAGATAAAGATCTTTGATCAACTATAGCTCTATGAAAAAGAAATGGAAAGGTACAGTGCCTTTCCTGAAAGAAACCTGAGAACCTTTTGAGGTTTGCATAAAAGCACAGTACAAACGTCTTGGGGCTTATTTAGGACCTTGTGCTGACTTGGCTTTCAAGGGCTGCTCCACCCAAGGAAAAGAGAACTTTGCCAGGCACACACAGCCTGATCATGTTTTCACCAAACTCAGCCCCGCCTCGTATTGCGCATATTAGACTTCCCTGACTGGAGCTTCCTAGGTTGCACCAGTGGTAAAGAACCTGCCTGCCAATACAGGAGACATAAGAGACGTGGATTCAATCTCTGGGTCAGGAAGATCCCCTGGAGATGGGCATGGCAACCCACTCCAGTATTCTTGCCTGGAGAATCCCATGGACAGAGGAAGCTGACAAAGAGTCAGACACGACTGAAGCAACTTAGCACGCACACACAACATCCCTGACTATGTGTAAGCTTGATAGGTAGATACACATGACTTTCTCCTGAAGTTTAGCTCTCTGCAAGAAAAACTTCTTAGAAGCACCTCTATTCCTTCAGATATAACACAGTTCTTCTACCACCACTCCATTCCTAAGAGAAGAAAACCTTGAAAGTCTTTCCTTCTATTCTTTCCTCCCAGTTCTGTCTGGAGAACCTCTACGGACCAACCGAGTGCTTCCTGCTATTCCAAGCCAGCGGGGACACAGTCCACCAGCTGAAGAGAGTGAAAACTCTGCCAGTTCCACCAATGATGAAAAGTAGCTGTGGGTCACTGATTGTGAAAATATAGACAAGATCTATTTTCAACTGTAAAAGAACAAGATTACTCTAGTTCGTAAGAATGAAGACTGATCTAGTAAATTGCATTCTATAAGCCATTCATGGTTTTTTAACTCAAAGTTCTTTGTTCCACATAAGCACTTAGAATCTTTAATTGTGTATATATAGCAAGTCTGTGAGTTTCTGTGACCTCTACAAGTCAAATAAAAAGTCACAGTATGTTATCAGCAGGGAACCTTAGTTATGTTTGGTTTGTTTTGTGGCATGTTTGCTGATTTTTTTTAAATGATTTTCTGTTTTTAAAAAATGTATGCTTTGCTGAATAAAAAAAGCACATTCCATATGTGTTATTTACATTTATTGCAATTCCACTTTGGGTTCAGTTCAGTTCAGTCACTCAGTCGCGTCCGACTGTTTGCAACCCCATGAACCGCAGCACACCAGGCCTCCCTGTCCATCACCAACTCCCGGAGTCCACCCAAACCCATGTCCATCGAATCGGTGATGCCATCCAACCATCTCATCCTCTGTCATCCCCTTCTCCTCTTGCCCTCAATCTCTCCCAGCATCAGGGTCTTCTCAAATGAGTCAGCTCTTCACATCAGGTGGCCAAAGTATTGGAGTTTCAACTTCAACATCAGTCCTTCCAATAAACACCCAGGAATGATATCCTTTAGGATGGACTGGTTGGATCTCCTTGCAGTCCAAGGGACTCTCAAGAGTCTTCTCCAACACCACAGTTCAAAAGCATCAATTCTTTGGTGCTCAACTTTCTTTATAGTCCAACTCTCACATCCATACATGACCACTGAAAAAACCATAGCCTTGACTAGACAGACCTTTGTTGACAAAGTAATGTCTCTGCTTTTTAATATGTTGTCTAGGTTGGTCATAACCTTCCTTCCAAAGAGTAAGCATCTTTTACTTTCATGGCTGCGATCACCATCTGCAGTGATTTTGGAGCCCAGAAAAATAAAGTCAGCCACTTTGGGTTAACAAAACTTAATTAAAATTAAAACAGTAAATTTCTTTCATCAGTCAGTGTTTATGGCTTTTAAGTGTACAATCATCTACAAAATATTTTCCAACACTGTCAGTTCCTGGCTAGAGATCAAATAAATCATTTAACAATGTTTATATATCTTCTTTGTTATAAGATTATTTCCACCTATTGTCATTTTCAGATATGATTGTTTGTTCTAATAGAGAAAATCATGTGAGTTGGAAAAGTCTACATCTTGACCTAATGGAATGAAATAGACATTGCTCATGCATTCCTCAAACACTCTACATATTTAATCATTTTTTTTTCCTGTTTCAAAATAATGGTCTCTGTCTACTCAAGATATTCCCACACTTATGATGTAGCAAATTTCAAAAAGACTATTACTAACTACAGATCTCCTTACTAAATGGTTTGTGTATTGTTTGGAGTAATTGAAATTTCAAGATTTAGCCATATAAGATCATACTCACTCCATGTTATTACCAAGCCTGCTGTTATTCAGCAGGCTTGATAGTGGTACATTTACCATTCTATGTTAGTATTATTGATATTTATTTAGGGAGGTCAGACTGTGCCATTAACTAGATAGAAGCTCCTTTGAGACCAAATCATAGTAACTTGGCTTTACACATCTAGAAATGTGTACAGTACCTGGAACATACTTACGTGCTCAATCATCTATTCTTTTTTTCTTTAGGAAAGAAGGAAGGGAAGAAAATAGGGAGATAGAGAGGTAGTTGGCAAGGTAGAGAGATGTAAGAAGTGATCAGGAAAGAAGCTAATAGTCCACAGTCTCATTTTGCTAATGATAGTTATCTATATCGGGGATTATAAAGAATAAACCTATCAACCTCCCAAGCTAGACAGTAGCTAGAGGGAGAGCAGTTTCTGGTGCAAATGGAAGAGTTCCCAGGACATAGATTCTGAAGGGTTTTTTTTGTGTGTATGTGGGGGCTATTTTTGTCTTTGAATAATCATTCTTTGTAAACATCAGGCTGTTCAGTTGTGTCACTTAGCTACTTCTGAATCCATGTGTAGATACCTGGCCCTACACTGCCTCAACTAGCCATGATAGTCTAGCCTCTGCTTCAGTAATAAGCACCTCCAGAATCTCATTGGGTAACACAATATTTTTTTTTTTTCTCATTCACAATGCATGTCTCATTTCTAGCTGGCAGAGTTGGCTGATGTAGATTCTCCTTCAACTTGAACTTCCTTAGTCACCAAAATGGAGAAAATCAGAGGTGAGTCTCAGCACTTCTTCCCACATTTTATTTGCTAAATTAAGTCATATGGATGTGCCTAACTTCAAAGCAGATACAGAAATGCAATCCTTCTGTTTGCGTCAGGAAGGGAGAAATTCAACTCTTTATGAATTATCCAAAAGATTTCCACACTAACCAAAACTCGGGCCCTAAGAGATCACCAAGTGGAAAGTTAAGAGGTCAAAACAATAAAAGAAAACAAAACACCCTTTATAAAACCCACCATCCCTCAACACTTGTACTTATATATATGCACATGGAATCTTCTAATGTTGGGCCTTTCCATCCAAGTTGATTTAAGAATCTTTGCTTAGCTAAAAAGAAGTAACATGTTGCCCATTACCACCTCTTTAAATAGAGCAACTATCCTTTTGCCTCTAGATAAATTTGCTTGCTTGGTGTAGGATATTCTTCAGCCAATATTTTACTGACCATATCAGATAGAGATACCAATTTGTGCCCAATTTTTTTTCAAGCAACTTTTTCTTCTAAAATGATTTTCTGTTCTTCTACCACTTATATTCCCCTTTATTGCAAAGCACATAAAAATAGTAACTTTGCATACATTATTTCATTTGGATCCTTACAACAACCTGTATTTCCCAAGTACTGACAAGGTACCAACACAGAGAAGTTAAATAATTTGCTCAAAGTCACAGAGCTAATACAAGCATATCTTGGCAACATTGCAGATCCAGCTCTGCAATAAAGTAAATACTGCTCTCATTTTTCCTAGTCTGTGGACCACCAGCAATTGCAAGATGATTTACCATTCACCAGAGATTTAATAATTAACAAGTTATTTCCTGTTTTTTACGTATTAGTGTTAGAGCTACCTTTGTCCTTCTGGTGACAACTATGCCAGAATAACATGGCTGACAGGAAACTCTTCAGCTTTTCATACAATTTATTCACTGACCTCCTAGATTTGACCTCTGGAAATATCCTGGAACTCATTCAGCTGCCCCAAAGACCAAAGTTGGACTAAAATGGAGGTCAGAATGGGAATGTATCTGAAGAACAAGTTTTGATAGAGACCTACAGTTTGTTGACAGTATTCAACTACCAGTATTAATATTTTTATCTCAATGTCTAGGAAATATGTGATTCTGATAGAATTTTCTGACTCTAAAATAAAATTTGCCCTGAAAACAATGAATCTAGCTACAGAGTGTGAGAGCTGCTATCATGTTCCTTTAATTTAGTGTTTGGCTTGAGTGTTATATTTCATGCTGATGGGTGTCCCAGTTGGCTCAGTGGTAAAGAATCCACCTGCCAAATCATCAGCCAAAAGAGACAAAGGTTTGATCCCTCCCTGGTCCAGCAAGATCCCCTGGAGGAGGAAATGGCAACCCACGCCAGTATTCTTGCTTGGGAAATCCCATGAACACAGAAGCCTGGCAGGCTATGGTTCATGAGGTCACAAAGAGTTGGACACAACTAAACAACTGAACACACACAAGGTCAAATATGTTCCTTCTTAATTACCTCATTTAAGCCTATGGTGGATTCCGAAGGGTTATTTTCAAAAGACCTTCTTTAAGACACAAGGATATACTTGCCAGAAGACATGCATCAGTACAATTTAAAGAGTACAGTACAGTTTAAAGAGGGGCAGTTTAAACATTACAGTTTTAAGAGGGGCAAAATCAAAATCAATGGTTATGTTTGTTTTAGGGGAAAGTGCTATATTTCTAATCAGTCATTTAGTGGGATTTTCTAAAATCATATTATGTGTCAAGCTGTGACCTAATAGACTTGGAAGGCATAATAAGCTAGAGGAACAGAAATCTATTTATATTGGCTTAATTCTAGGGAGATGAGAGCCTTGGAATTAAGTGTTTACTGGAAAAAATTACATCTGTGTTAAACCAGGTAATTACTGAAGGAAACTAAGAAAAATGAGGAGGGGAACTATAACTTCCAAAAACTAGCGAAAATTACTGGGTTGGTGGGCTTTTTGTACAAGTGTTAACTGTAGCTCCACTTTGCTTGGATGACAGATAGGCTGAATAAATAAATTCAGAAAGAAGGCTATGCCAAAGGTATGCCACACTTATGAAGTTTCTGAAACAGGAATACACTGTTGGGGAATTATGTATGTGGACTATGGGACTAGAGACACTTCACTGCTAAGCCCTGCTCTGCCATTTGTATTGTATTGAGCCAAACATCAACTGCAATTGAAAGCATAACTTAAACTGCTGAGCTAGATGACAAAAACTTTTGTTTCAGAAACAAAAGTTTCTGAAAGTATGTAAGAAAGCAAAAAAACAGAAGGTGAAGCCAATCAGCATTATAGTTTACAGCTAGAAGGAGCCTATCAGAGGAGTTTTGTCAGATCTATATGAAAAAGCCAAGCAAACCTTTGAATTCAAGAAAAGCTGAAAATCAAGGCACTGTTCTCATGTGTCTAAATAGTTCACTCAACGAAATCAATCCCAGTGTTCTCTGAACAAGTGACTTGGGGCAAGCGGGGAGGGGAGAGGGGCAGTGTAATACAAAGAAAAAAAATGAATTGAGATTTAAGATACCTTCCCTCAAACTCTGAGAGCTAGACCATTAAATCTCCATCTTAGGGAGCTTAGCAAGCACGACCTTCCCTTTGCCACATCCTGTCTTCACCTATGGATAAAGATTAAGCTTCCATAAAGCCCTTTGTATGAGTCTAATAAAGGCTTACAAAGTGAGTAGGATTTTGTTTCAATGAATGTGCTAGAGTTAGTTCTTACCACCTTGCAAGATTTGATTGATGAATCTGACATTCAGGAATTTGGTGAACTAGTTTTTCAATCATTGGTAGCTTGAAATTGGCCATGGCGGGAATATTTTCACCATGAAAATTGGCAAACACTACAAATCAGGGCATACTTTTTTTTTTTTAAATCTGGCTTACCAATACACCACTGGGTATAACATCTGGGGGAGGGGGGGAAATCTTTCAGAATTAAGAACACGTAAGAAAATTTTTCTTCTGCAAAGTTCTTTATTGTTTCTATTTGGTCCACAACTTGAGAGAAAGCTTCAGGTGGTTTAAAAGGTGCCTATTGACTGCAGCGTGCCTGTGT